CCCACCCTGACATTTTTAATATGTTAGCATTCTTACAGCAGAATGTGGTACCAAATTCAGTAAAATATTTATCAGCTCTTCAGGTTTGATGAGAAATATGTGATTTCCCATTGCAAGGAATTCTGTGTTACTGTGGTGGGTAGGAGTAATGCTTCAAGCTGATTTAGCAAGAAGTGTCTAGAATAGAGATGCAATCAAAATGTTCAGACTTCCTTATTTCTAGTTCTCAAACGATGCCACCTGTTAAGGCATGATATCCGTAATGTGTGAAGGCAATTAGTGTGCTACTTACAGATTCATTCTTCTCACCTATTCACTAGTGCTTCCAGGTTGGTTTCTTTCTTCTTGTGTTTTCTTTATTGTCTTTGAACTAGATCATGGTTACTTAATGAAATACCTACAGTGTGTATATGCAAAAAACCCTGCCTACTTACCTCCATTTCACCCAGTAATGAATCCCTACTCTTTTTCGTAGTAGCCAAACAAGAACTTAAGGAACAAAACACCAGTTGTTGCATTTCCTAAAGCACTCTTTAGGGTTTATACAAAAAAATGCTGCCTCTACTTACAGAATCATAGCTTACTTAGGTTTGGAAAGGACCTTAAGATCAACTAGTTCCAACCCTCCTGCGTTGAGCAGGGATGCCTCACACTAGACCATGTTGCCCACGGCCTCGTCCAGCCTGGCCTTGAACACCGCCAGGGATGGAGCATTCACCACTTCTTTGGGCAACCTTTCCAGTGCCTCACCACTCTCCCAGTAAAGAACTTCTTCCTTGTCTCTAACCTGAACTTCCCCTGTTTAAGTTTCAGCCCGTTGTCCCTGGTCCTATCACTGCAATCCCTAATGAAGAGTCCATCCCCAGCATCTTTATAGACCCCCTTCAGATACTGGAAGGCTGCTATGAGGTCTCCATGCAGCCTTCTCTCCTCCAGGCCGAACAGCCCCAACTTTCTCAGGCTGTCTTATGTTATGCCTGTCTTACTTATGTTGCATGTTAGTAAAAATTTATCCTCAAGCAATTGCTGGTTCACTTCTGCTCTGGGAAAGATTCTCTGGGGAATCTGCAATTGTTTTGTTGCTTGAATAGTACATGTTATTAAATAGTTGTAAGGGTAGATGACTTCAAAGGAGAATTACGAAAGTTGCTTTTGAACCTGATTAGTTCAGCAAGTATAGCATAAAAGTGTTTTCAGCACAAACACGGGAGTTCAGAGTTCACACAGGAAGACCTTGGAGTTGTCCTGGCTATGCAGTGACAATTATTATTCATTCTAGTTCAGAAACTATAAAAGGAAAATGTTAGAAAACCTTATCCACTGTATGTCAGAAGGGGGGGGTGGGGGATTATATCTAGGAAGATTCTACTTTGAATTTGTTAAAAATACGAAGAAAAGACAGCCGTCCTCTTTATCTATTTCCATTCCAGCTGCATATATGTTGAAGGAGGTGCATGTGGTGAAATTTGACCCTTTGGTGACTGAAAGCTCATGCTGTACTGGATTATAGTACTTCTAATATATGGTCAAAAGGAAATGTATTCTCAATTTACAGTGAGCCTTGACTATGAAGGACAGAAGAGAAAATATGATTTTATGGGTTTTTTTTTTTTCCAGTAAGGAAAGAAAATTTAAAATTTAGAACTTCATGCAAGATTGCCAGGGCCTGAGGCAAAAGAAACCTGAGCATGTATCTACTTTACAGCTGCAAAAATAATTACATGATAGCTATCTATGGAGTAATCTCTAATGGATTACATTTTGTTAGCATTTCATTATGTAATGTCAGAGCCAAAATAATTCATAGTAAATGGGGAAAAAAATACTTGTTTTGATGTACCTATGGCCTGCACCTTTGATGTCCTCCTAAGGCATTTCTACTAAGCATTGGTTCATTTGTGAAAAGCCTTGGTTTACAGACAAGGTACGGTGCTTGTAAAGCTGATAAAAGACTTAAGGGGTGTAGAAATTACTGAGGTAATTTCTTTTTATTATGCTACTGCTGGACTTCTTAGTTGCTTCAGAGGTGTTAAAAGCCATCCCAAGTGCTATCTGATAGGTATTCCTCTTAGATTTACAAGGCTTTTCAGACTTGAAAAGCTCTTACAGTTTATTAAGATCAGTTCCATTGATTTTTTTATTCTCTTTTTCTTTTGAAACTTAAGGGCACTTCTTTTTATATCTCCTAATTTCATTCAAATGATACAATCTTCAGCAGTAATGAGAGGCTTCTTACTCATGGTCAAAACACCCCTTTAATTGTGTTCCAATGGAACAGAGGTGCAGCAAATAAACTCTTCTGCCCTTTCATGTGCTGTTTGCACTGGGAGCTGGATATATAGGGTTTTTAGCAACTCAGTGCAACTTCTGTTTCTTCTTTTATATTCTTTAGTTTTGAGAAGTGATAAAAAGAAATAATAATATGATCAGTAGCCCCCTTTGTCTCAGCTCCAAGCCAGATCACGTCTCCATTAAAGTAAATACAGAAAATTGTTTGTCTTAAGCAGAAGGAGTGTCAGCCTCAGCATTTATACTATGTGGTTTACTGTATCTGGATGTCTTGAGGGTTATTTGGGAACATAAGAAGTTGCATCTGGTTATTAATGCCATATTTGGTATAAATGGAATAAATGCACATAAGGTTTTCAGTGTATGTGATAAAGGTGTGTATATATACCTTTGTCCCAGAGTAGATCACTCATTTGCCCTCAGATCATTTTAAAGGTCTTTAGAAAGACCTCACAGATAGGAATGCTTTGGTGGCAGTGCTGTACCTGCCAGTCTGTAAGCACAGCCACATTCCTTAGCATCTAACAGTATATCATGCCTCACTTGGAAGTGGCATTAACAACCAAACCAGTGTTGAGTAGTGAACGGCCATATGTATGTGGTCCATGGCTTGGGGGATATATTTTTTGCTGCAGATTCTTTTCAGTGTTTACTGCTGACACAAGATTGCTGCAGGTAGGAAGAGTGACAGATACCCTTATCAAAATCTTAAGAGTCCTGTGGTTGTAATGTACTTTTCCATTCTGTATTCTTTGTTCAGTGTGGATGGAGTAATAGCAGTGGAGAGGACTCGAATGTTCTATTTAGTATCATTTGAGTTATTTATTTTTAGATTAAACCTGATGCCACCTACTTGGCAAGATGTAGGAATGCCATTATTCTGTTAAATTGTGTCCCTGTGTAGTGGTGTGCTGAGCACAGTGTGATGTCTTTCCTCTCCCAAAAAGAAGAATAATCACAGAGCTGTTGATAAAATTCATAGTGGGTGACTGGAGGAAACTGGAGTTTCCTAAGCCTGAGCTTGGCCAAGTGATGAGAAAGAACAAAATCTAGTAACGAAGCTGCAATAAAAATGTTTCTTTCTAAGAAAAGATAGTAAAATTGACTTCCGAGTGAAGGATCTGGACCTGGCTCAGGCTAAGCGATGACTCCCTCAAGTCAGGAAAGATTTTTATTGGGGTGATTTTTCTTGAAAAAGACTCAGCCAAATCACAAAGATGAGTTTGGCAAAGGCTTCACAAATTTTTGGTGTCCTATAATATCATCAAAAACTGAGAAGTTGTTAATTTTTGACATAAACTCAAGGATGGGTGCAATTCATATGGCCAGTGGCCAATCGTTAACCTAAGTCTTTGAGTTACTGGCAAGCTGACCTTGTGCCAAAAGATCCAATCTTTGCCATGCTTCTCCCCACGTGACATCCTACCTGAGCAGAAGACATTGTGCCTTCTTCATCTACGAAAGGAATCATAAAATGGTTGAATTGCAAGGGACCTTAAAGCTTATCCGGTTCCAACCCCCTGCCATGGGCAGAGACACCTTTCACTAAGGCAGGTTGCTCCAAGCCCCTTCCAGCCTGGCCTTGAACACTGCCAACGATGGGGCAGCCACAACTTGTTGTGTCAACCTGTTCCAATGCCTCACCACCCTCACAGTAAAGAATTTCTTTATATCTTATCTAAATCTACCCTCTTTTAGTTTAAAGCCATTACCCCTTGTCCTGTCACTGCATTCCCTTTTAAAAAGTCCCTCTCCAGATTTTGTGTAGGTGCCCTTGAAGTACTAAAAGGTTTGTTTAAGGTCTCTCCAGAATCTTCTCTTCTCCAGGCTGAACAGCCCCAACATCACTTCCTAAGCCTTTCAAGGCTGGCACCCCTTCCCTCCAGGGTGTTGACTGCACCACACAGCTTGGTTTCATGAGCAGACTTGATGAGGTTGCACTCAATCCCACTGTCCATGTCACAGCCAAAGATGTTGAACAGGATCCTAACACTGACCTCTGAGGGACACCACTTGTCACTGGTCTCTGCTTGGACATCAAGCTGTTGACCACAAGTTTTTGAATGCAACTAACAGCCAATTCCTTATCCATGAAGTGGTCCATCCATCAGATCACATCTGTCCAATTTAGAGACAAGAATGTCATGCAAAACAGCGTCAAATGCCTTGCACAAGTCCAGGCAGATGATGTCAGTTGCTCTTCCCGTATCCACTGATGCTGTAACTCTACTGTAGAAGGCCACCAAATTTGTTAGGCACTGTTTGCCCTTAGTGAAGCCAAATTATCTGTCACCAGTCAACCCATTATTGTTCATGTGCCTTAGCATAGTTTCCAGGGGGATCTGCTCCACGATCTTGCCAGGCACAGAGGTGAGAGTGACTCACGTGTTCAGATATACTAGGCAAACATACCAAGTACCACCAGTAAGGCAGCTCTTGTGTGCAGACACTCCTACGGCTGTGTCAGCCTTTCGTCTTTGCCAGTTAGTCACCTGGGTTGCATGTTAGAAGTTAAATACAAGTTATACATGGGTTTTCTGTGTTACAGTGTGGAAGTACCACACACCATCCGCAGACTCCAAATGAAATTCATTGACTGAATTTTTCTTTAATATAAAGTATAACGACAACAGGAACCAAAACAAAACACTTTGCTGTGCTTTTGGTATATTGCTGGATAATTTTTTACTTAATTTTCTTTATTCTTTCAGTACTACGGGATGACTTCAGACAAAATCCATCAGATGTAATGGTAGCTGTGGGTGAACCTGCAGTGATGGAATGTCAGCCCCCAAGAGGTCACCCAGAACCCACTATATCATGGAAAAAAGATGGTACCCCTCTCGATGACAAAGATGAGAGAATCACAGTAAGTATAAAAACGTTTTCAAATAATGCAAAAATTCACTAATTAAAACTACCAGTTTTGAGCATAGAGGCATCCAACCATGATGTACTTAATAGGATCTGTCCTTTCCTTGCCTTGGAGGTACAGCTAGTTTGCATTTAGCTTGTGATGCATCCTGTAGTCTCATACTACTTCATTGCAGGGTATGTATTTGTTTGTTAGAGAAAACAATACAAAACCTGTGTTATTCTCTTTCTCAGAGAAATAGAACCTTGTAGAAATGAAATTCACTATATTTGTCACTGTCCTATAATTTTCTTGCCTTTTATTTACCTATAATTTTCTGCAACCTGTAACAACTGCCTTCTTTGGTTGGAAAGAGGAACTACTAGTAGTCTAGGAGCGACCACCTTTCATAATTCTGTTGAAAAGAATCCATACAGAAAAGCTCTACATTGCATTAGTAACAATAATGCCTTTGGGATATAGTCCCATTTCTTTAGAGAGGTGATGGCTTGCCCTGCCCTCTCAAATTAAGCTGTTTTCTTGTTAGAGGTGGTCTTGGACCCATTTGTATCTGTAGCTTGCTGAATACAGTGCATGATTATTCAGGAGCAGGAATAAAGCAGCTTGTCGAATCTGAAAGCTATCATTCTTTTAATTTTTGACACATGAAACAATAAGCTAGGGAGCCTAAATGGCTTGAAGAAATGGCAATGAAAAATGGAGTTTAAAAATCATTTATATGCTGCCAACAGGGTGATACAAAACACCATTTCACATGGTAAGAATCCATATCATCTGAAAGCACATGCCATATCAGATCCTCTTGGCACTGGAAGCGTAAATGCTCCATCCCTGACTGTGTTCAAGGCCAGGCTGGACAGAGCCTTGAGCAGCATGGTCTTGTGTGAGGTGGCCCTCCCCATGGCAGGAGGTTGGAGCTGGATGACCTTAAGGTCCTGTCCAACCCGTGCTTTTTTATGGTTCTTTGACTACTAGTGTGCAACAAGATCAGAGGCACATATGACTTATATACCTCAATCATATTTGGCCTGGGTTTGGCTGTATCAGTTACTTTTCTCCTTCTTAGGTAGCTAGAGGAGTGCTGTACCAAGGTGAAGCAGTTGAGGGCTTTTGAGGGAGATTTTTAATGCAAGAACACTTAAACCTAAGCAACCTAAGTAAAAATGTACTGTTTTCTGTTTGAGATTTAAATTGACAGTTCTTCCATTTGGTTTTTGCAAACCAGACAAAGCTCAGGCATTCTGTAGTTGTGGCTTATGCATACATTTAAATTTTTAAGTACCCTACCCAAACCTGTACTGATTGCTGGCTATTAACTCAATTCCTCCAATCACACCTGCTAAGAACTTGCAATTTCCTTTTCAAATCTCCTTCCCACTGTGACAAGCCAATTGACCTGAGATAAAGAGAAGATTCCAGTGCTGTTGCTTTTTTTCAGGAAATGCTTTCTAAACTTGCATTTTCTATTGCTGTACTTTATTATCCTGAAGGATTTTCAGGTGTTGCCTATTAAGTGCATTCCTTTTGTTATACATGAAAACTCCTCTCCCAGCTGCCAGAACAAAGACAAACCCAGAACAAAAGCAGCTATCACTGACTAGCAGTGCCACCTGTATTTATTAAAATGGTTCTTAGGATAGGATAAAGCACCGTAGTTTGGTTTTGTTTTCTGGTGACTGCATGAAACCCTCACCTACACAGTATCCTTTCACCATGACATCTGGTGGAGTTATCTTGTGTTATCAGTCTCCACTTCCAAAACCAAACAAAAGCAAAATGAATTTGCATGTAGGTGTAGATATGCACTTGTTTCGCATGCCCAGATGAGTGTTTGTTTTCAGAGGTGTAAATTAAGAGTGCTGCCATAGCTGGCTCAACTCATTCATGTACGTCATGTTTGCCTGGCATTGTCTTAAGCAGTGCTATTAATATCATGGCTACTTTCTCACACAGGCAAGAGACTGAAGCTACATTGTCATGCAGATTTGCATCAACTTACAGCTGTAGCAGGATCATGCCAAGTGGATAAATATGCGTTCAGATGTACATCTTAACAGCTTTGCAGTAACCATCTGTATTATCTTGCTAGTTGGCTGGGAGGCAAGGGGAGATTGGGGCCTGGAATGGGCCACATGTTAAAGGACAGATGGGGAAAATGTATTAATTTTGAAACCTGACTTAGAATTATTCCGTTTCTGTTACCTTACGTCCATTAGGTTATTTCCATTTTAGTTTAGCAACTGGAAGATGAAGAATTACAATAGTACAACAGCTGCAATACAGATGAAGTTGTTGGGTTTGAAGTTATAGATTTAATTTTTACAGTAAATCAATCTTAAAAAAAAAAGTCATTTAAGTCCCTATATTTAAAATGAACACCTACATTTATTTGATGCAAAATAATCATTAACTTGATGAAACTAAGTTTTAGTAATATAGTTTGCAGGTGTTACCTCCCTGTTTTTAAGCCGTGAAATTGCCAGATCAAGAAAAGTCAAACTATATACAATAGAATCACAGAATCATAGACTAGTTAGGGTTGGAAAGGACCTCAAGATCATCAAGCTCCAACCCCCCTGCCATGGGCAGGGACACCTCGCTCTAAACCATATTACCCAAGGCCTCATCCAGCCTGGCCTTGAACACTGCCAGGGATGGAGCATTCACAACCTCCCTGAACAACCCATTCCAGTGCCTCACCACCCTAACAGGAAAGAATTTTACGTGTTGATGTTCAATGTATGTGTCATACCAGTGAGCATTTCATCAATGGAGATGCTTTGGTGGCTCCACTTGTAAAGTATTTCCAGTTGTTTCCGTTCTTAAAGGCTTGTTGATCTTTGACTCATTTTCATTTTAAGAGTTCTCTAAGTGTCAAAGGCTGCTTAAAGCATTTCATAACAATCCTTTCTGACAAAAAAAAAAAAAAGTAAACTTTAAGATTGTACTTTTTTTTTCGATAAGGGATGATGGGTGACATCTTTTTTTGATTCATATCTACACTTCCTGCAAAAAGATGGTGTTTCCAAGAAGCAGACTTATTTTTAATATGTGGAAGCTTTTCCTCATCTGCAGTGATCTACACTGATCTTTGAGTCAGCAGAACTGGGCTTTACAGACTTAAGTATTAAAGGTGCTGGAGAAACAGAAGTGGTGGCTTGGTTCCTGCCAGAAGTTTTGAAGCAAGAGATGTAGATAAATAGTGGTTCAGTAAGACTCAAGTTAAGGCAGAACTTCCTCTGGAATGCAATAAAAGGAAAATATTATTTTGTCCTGGTAGGGTTAAGGAAATTGATCTGTTTATGTAGGTGAGATAATAAAAATCAAAGTAGCCTTTGCATATTTTTGTTTCATTTGAAGGGCAAATAAATATGCTTCCAAGAGAGATAAATTTTTATGTCTTTCAGGTTATAAACAGTAGGGAATAGAACAAGTAAGAAATTGAAGTAAGGGGATAGGCGCAACTATTTGTGATTGGGATTGTAGAAACAGACATGTTCTTTGAGCACAGCTCTCTCAGTACTGCTTAGTTGTAGCAGAAGTCACTCTTCAGAGCACACATGACCACTGGGTGCATCTGGTGAAGAATCATTATTGAAATGTGTTTTAACCTCTGTTCTTAAATATATTATCTATAAACAGTTTTCTCAGTGCACTGGAGCTAAACATCATTTTTCTCATGTGTACTGCTTACACCACAGTATGAAAGCATCTGCTTGATGTGGCTAATCCCTGTCTTTATTACAAATGAATTGGGACTGACAGTCTTGGATATGAAGCAAATGCTTAACTTAGTTTGTTGGAATTGAAAAACAATTATCATGAGGCCAGAGCAGAATTGGTGTTATTCGTTGCTCATCTAGTTATTTTTTCTCTTGGAATTACTGTGGCACTCCTATAACATATATGGCTGAAAAGGAGTGTTTCAGTGCACTATGAGAGGCTGTGTGAGTCTCCTAGAGCTGAGACGTAGCGGAGGAAGAAGATGCAAGCTCTGGTCTGCAAGTGAGAGAAGAGGCTGCTCACCAGGGTGGGGAAGTTCCTTATTCTGTTTCCAGCCCTTAGTGGTGATTTGGAATTGCTGTCTTGTCAGGTGAAGTGCATAGACCTAGAAATTGCTTGGAGAGAAGATCTAGGGCAGGTCTCCTCCCAGCCCCATCAGTCTAGCCATCTTCTTTGCATGGCAGCCCAGTGTCATTAGGACATAGCCACGTGTTTCAGGCATTACCCTTGGCACCCAAAGCTATGAGTTTGCATTGCCTCAGGCTGAGGAGGAAGAAGCAGTCTAGTTTCTGCTGGCTGCTGTGATCACTGGGCTTGGTCTTTCCAATTGTATTTTGTCTAGATGTTGTTGGCAGGAGCATCACTGTCTGCGAGTACCATTAGCAGTGATTTCCTTGTGCACTCACAGCGAATGCTGGTTGCTTCTAAGATTTTGAATACCTCCAGTGTGCTTCCATTCACTTCTCAGCAGTCTTCCTGTTGTACCCCAAAACTTCCTACTGCTTCTCAAATGGTGTCCCCACTGCCTCCCTACCACACACCACTGCAGTGAATTTTTCACCTCATTCCCCATACATTTCTTCCATCTCACAACCTGCCCTTGCATTCACCCAGCCTTTTTCTTCCACCTGTCTAGCTCTGACTCTGTCATCTTGATTAGTGCTAACTGCTTGTGTGGAGATAACAGTTTGGGAGCTCAGATAAGCAAAACTTCCTGCTGTATCATGTAATGTAAAGGCGCTCTTCCTTTGCCTTTGCTGATAATGTAAATGGCTAGTGTGCTGTGATTTGTAAGGAATGTGGTGTTGTCTGTCTTAGGTTTGCTCAGAGCCTTCCTTAAAGAACCATGTTGCTCCTCTGTCTTCTTTGCATCCCATCCCAAATGCAGTTGCCTGTATATAAGATGCTGACATCAGTAATCTAAGCAAGATGGTGGAGCCTTTGAGAATATCTTTAGGCAAAAACTGGAAATAATTACAGACTCTAAGGAG